TGCCTCTTTTTATAGCTAGCATGACAAATGTGCATCAATGTGCTTAGCCACTGTACTCCTCCCAAACCTTGGAATGATAGGTGCCCACTAACACACCCAGCCACTAGTTAAAATGGAGTCTTATGAACTTTCATGTCTGGGTTCTCCTGATCTCCACCTCCTAAGTAGCTAGGATTACAGGACTGGGAATATGCTAGCATTAGAATTTTGTCTTCTCCACCTGACTCTCTGAGAACTCCTATCATGCCTCTTTCATCTCCATATACCCAATGTCTAGAAAAAGAATTTCAACTTGCTTTTAGATGAGTATATTAGTCATAGAATGCAAGTTGATTCTCTGGGACTAAATTTATGCCCAAGGGTTCTAGTTTAAACTCAATTCAGTCCTTCCAAAGTGGAGGGCTAAAATTTTGAAGTCTGATTCTCCCCTTGGTAAAAGTAGTAAAGGGCTGGCACAAAAGTGACACAATTCCTTTCCTGAGATCAACTCAGGAAAAGGATAGAAGTTACTATACAGTCCCTCAAAAGGGAGACAACAGACCCACATTTATACTTACTAGATCATCACACATGACCAACTACATTTCAACTTGCTACAATAGGGAGATTCCCTTTTGGAGAGATTATATCAAAATTTGGTCATGAGGCTTTTCCACGTGAAGAGGGCAAAGTGGGTATCTGGGAACTGTCCACAAGAATCTGGGGAGGGCTCCAACTGCACAAACTAGCTGTGGGCCACAGAATGCTTGCTCAGCTCATTAGCACCTGCTGCTTACAGTGACCATTCATCCAACAGACTGGCCATGAACGAGATGATAGTATCAGCGGGTTCATGCCCCAGAGAGCTTTGCTCATCATTAACATGAGCTACATCCTGTTCAGGAACCATTCCTCTTGAAGAAACATTGCAATGTAATATGATAAACATTTCCCCATCATTGGAGATTTGCCTAGAAGGATCAGTAGAAAGGTAGATGCATTTTCCATGAATCACATGCATGGCAGCACTAAAAACCACCCATTGGTGACTTCGAATCATCATGGCCTATTTGCCTGCTTCACTAGAAACCTTTCAAAGGCCTCTGACGTCTGGCTTTCATTGTTTAGGTCCTCTCCTCCTTGCCAAGGGTGGAATTACCTGTTTATAATACCAGCGATTACTATGCACACTGGAACTTGGTAGAGAGTAAGCTCAAGTGTGCAGGTCTAGTTTGGAGGGAATTTCCCTGGACTTCAAAGTTAGATTCTGCTCCTATTTTGTATCTGAATCTTGCACCTTGGACTCTAGAGTGTTGGGAATGGCTGCCAGAGGGAAGCAAGTTACAAAGCTCTGGCTGGTGTGAGATGGGAGCCTAACCTAGAAATTCTGCACAAACTCAAAAAAAGAATGGTAGATTCCCCCACCTCCTACACGTCCAACTCATCTGTTCTCTTGAACATGTACAAACAAGAAGACACAGCAGTTTAGCATGCTGCTACTGAAACAGTGAGTAATGGGCTTCTAGGAAGAAGGTGGTGGTGGCTAGGAAGAGCTTGTGAGGTTATACTGATAGAACCAAAGGAAGAAGACGGGAACCATGTGCTCACCTCCATGTGCACTTCATGGAGCTATGACTTTAAAAAAGAAAATAGCCACCACCCAGATTCTACTCAGCAGGGCCTTTTAAAAAGCATAGCAAAGTCCTTACCTATAGTCACCAACAGGCTGTTGGATAACCAAAGCTGCTAATGTTACCTAGGAACGCTTTTAGGGATCTAGTCTCTCTCTGTGTCCTTTGTCTGTAAATTCCTTTCATCCAGACTCCCGGGTTTGTCTCATATAATCAGGCCAGTTCCTTAAGACTTCTCCTTCCTAGGTAAAACTATGAAAGAATTCTGCTTCTCTTTCAAAGCTGTTCTTCTGGTCTCACATGCTACACTAACCGTAACTATAGAGAAGCTGACAGACCTGTTCCCATAAAACAAACACAATCCCTCCCTGCTACTGGTAAAACTCAGGTTTTCAGCCTGATTCCTTCTGAAGTCTGATCTGAAGGGGGAGGTAGCATGGAAAGAACCTTGGACTTGCTATCATTAGAGCGGCTACCTACTGCCTTTGACACCACAGGCAAGGTTACTTTATTCCATGGAAACTCACTCTCTCCAATTTCCAAAATAGACATTTATTCTCCTTGCCTATAAGATTTTCTCAGAGGATTACATGAAATAATGATCTTGGAAGTGACATGAAACGTGCCAAATACACACAGTGCCCTCCGAGGTCCAAGTATGCCTTTTTTTCTGCATAGCGCCTGAATAATACTTCTTCCCCCACTGCCCCCCTTAGCATACTTCTCATGCCTCAGAGTGAGTTTCCTCCCCAACATCTCCCCAGAATGTGGCCTTCCTCTTTCCCTCACAGCTAACCCTCAGAACATCCCCTCAAGCCAACCCCCTTACTTCACCTCCTGCAGCACATCTCCAAGGCCAGTTTTTTCTCTCACTTGGATAGCCACTTTATTATGCTTTTATTCTACCCTCTTTCTACTATCAAGACTCATGTCCCAAGTAGCAGCTATTGGCAAAAACTCAGTATGGTCTTTGGAAGCTCCTGTCTGCCTGTTATGCGCCATGATACTTGCTGCTTCTGATGAAACTATAGTTTTATGGTGTTACATCATCTCTATAGAAACTACGTTCTTTCTCCATTATTAGCCTGTTTCCTCATCTGTAAAGTAAAGCTAAAAATACTCACCTCACAGGCTTGTTGTAAGGATTATTTTAGTCAAGTATGGAAAGGGCTAAGCATTTGGTTTGACCTGCTACAAGAGCCCCCAAAAAGCGAGCTATTATCTTTGCATGGACTTGCATGTTCCCATTTCTGCTGCCATACTCCAATTCTCCCAACTCCCCACTCTCTAAAACGGCTGAGAGAGAGAGAGAGAGCTCCCCCAACTCTACACCAAGGAAAGGGTTAATCTCCAAGTGTTCTTAACCAAAGAGACCCACAGAGGATTAACAGCTCCATTTCAGTGACTATCCTAAAATAGCTTTTTATCCCTCTCCTGCCTAAGAGCTACTTGGGGAGCTGAAGAACTTAATTCAACACCTGCCTACATGGAAATACACCCAGGAACTATTTCTTGGAATGAACAGTCTTCTCTTAAGAGAACTCAAAATAGCAACTGGGAAATTATAAATAGATTTAGAAAGGGGGGGGGGGGGCAACAACAACAACAACAACAAAAAATCGCAGTCCTAACCTGGGCACCAGAAACAAATCCAAAAGGCAAACTGGTGGGCTAGAAAACAGCGGGAAGGAAAAGGGAATGGGAGTAGCTGCTCCCTCAGTCTCACACAGACTCACACAAAACTCACACGGATGGATGGGGACAGAGACACATACACACACCCCAGAGTGGTGGGAGAATTAAATTACAGGGAGGCTGGCGAGCCTCAATGACTTGCATCATTCCAAGAAACATCAAACAGGATTAACAGGGGTTGGATTTACTCTCAGGCTGCTAGTTCTTGTGTCCGTGTAGATGGGCCTCTTTGGAGTCCCTTTGATTCCCTATTTCCTCAGATTCCACTGCCTCCCACTCCTGGGGAGGCCTTGAACAAATGGCCGCAACACAGGATGGCCTCATTTTTACAGGGAGGAAACCACCTTTAGACACCCACCCCCCAATCTAGTGGCCTCTCCTTGGGAGGAAGGGGGAGGGTTTAGAAACTCAAGGCCAGACTACCACAGCCCCAGGCTGACAGGTGGAAAAACACACAAGCCAGGAGACAGATTACACTTGCAGGTGAAGCACCAACTCCCCCATACTGTTATTTCCCCTCCAAGCTGGGCTACACCGTGGAGCTGGATTTGCAGGAAACAGGCTCTCAGGGCTAACTTGTGAACCATCCCATGGTGTGGTAGAAATTGTGAATCTTCCCCCCCTCTCCCCCCCAAGATTAGGAGATTGGAATAGACTGGTGCTGAGAGGAAAGGAATTCAGGGAAGGGGGGGGGGGGGGAATCGCATCTCAGGGGAGGAAAAGAAGGGAAAGTCATTGGGGTTTCTAAGGGGGGTCTCCAAGAATGCGGCAGGGGGGATTCTAAAAGCTGAAAAGTGTTATAAATAGTTTCGAGAGGGTCTCAAAACCCGTTTCCTGATAGGTATGGTCTAGAGTTTTTGAGTACGATCCCTGGGACGAGGGCTACGTACAAGTAGGAACTTATTTTGGGATTCTTCAGACCCTAGGTATTTGGGGGAAGCCTTAAAGGGGTTACAAAAGTCTACAAAACGGAAGGGAGGGTATAATAAAGAGCAGACTTCTTGGAGCAGCAAAGGGGTAAGTGGGCCGGGGTAGGCGTGTCCCAGGGAGGGAGCAGGTGCAGCTTATCAACGTCCCCCAGACCCGGGTCCCCAGCAGGGTCGGCAGCGCGCTATCTGGGTCACCAAGGAGCCTGGCTGGGAATGAGGGATCCTCGGGCTGTGGGTCTCCAGGTCTTGGGAGACTAATGGGACTTCTTCGGGTCCCCCAAACACAGGTATGAGTTCCGGGGAGAGTTTCCGTCACCCTGGGGCCTATCTGGGGCCACGCTGGCGCAGAGGGGGGCCCCCCGTGGTGGGGGGGGTGAGACCGCGCTAAGGGGCCCCGAGATGAGGAACGACGCCGCTCCGGGCACCCGGCGTGCGGGGCGCAGCGAGACTGCCTCCCGCCCCGCTCCCCGCCGTCCCCAGGGGCCCTCGCCGGCACTCACCGCACTCGGAGCCCCGCGCTGCGGGCCGGGCCGCGCTCGGGCTCCGCCAGGCCCGCTCAGGCCCCGGTAGTGGCGGCGGTCGGGCCATTGTGCGGTGCATTGTGGGAGCCGCGCGAGCGGGCAGGGGAGGGGGCGGTGCCGCGGGCTCTCTATGGTCCCGCCCGCTCGTGGGCTAGAGCGGCCGGGGCAGCGCGCGGGCGACGCGCGGGGGCCGCCGGGAGCGGGGCGGACGCTCTCGCTCCTCCCGCCCGCCCGCCCTCGTCGCCGGCTAGGCGCTCTGGGCTCCCGGAGTCGTCATGGGCGCCGCCGCGTGGGCGCCGCCGCCCCTGCCGCTGAGAACCTCTCTCCTCGTGCTGTTCCTGCCGCTCCCCGGGATGCCCGCGGGCTCCTGGGACCCGGCTGGTTACCTGCTCTACTGTCCCTGTATGGGTAAGGCCTCCCGAGCCCTCTGCGCATATGGAGAAACTGAGGCCGGGAGAGGCGAAGCCACTTCTCTGAGGCACCCTGAGAGGCTTTGACAGGTCCAAGAGAGGACCCCAAAGCTGGGCAGGACTTGCTCTTCTCTCTGCCACTCGAAGGGGGGCCACTATGTCCCACCTGCCATCTGACAAATGAGAAAACTGAGGCTGAGAGGTGACGTGACTCACGTGACGTCTGAGGCCCAGGAAATGGAGTTGATGAAGCAGGAATTGATGCACTGTCCCCACTCGGGCTCTAGGCTTTTATTTCATTCATCCACCAAAATATTTGTGTGACACCTTTTCTCTGCTAGGCGGGGTCCTCAGGTGCTGGGAATACCATGGTGAATAAGACAGATAAATCTCATGCCCTTGTAGGTTTAGATGGGGAAGATAAGCATCAATACTAAGTAATTGCAGGGGCTGGGAAGGTGGCCAGTGGTAGAGTGCTTGCCTTGCATGCAGGAGGCCCTGAGTTCGATTCCTCAGCACCACATATTGGTAGAGCGCTAGCCTTGAGCTAAAAGAGCTGAGGGACATCGCTGACAAAAAAAAAAAAAGACTAAGTAATTTGCATAGTTGTAGAAAACGAAGTCTAGAAAATAAAGAGGAGGGGCTGAGGATGTGGCTTAGTGGTAGAGTGCTTGCCTGGCATGTATGAAGCCCTGGGGAATGTGGCATAGGGGGGTAGTGCTTGCCTAGTATGCTTGAAGCCCTAGGTTCGATTCCTCAGTACCACATAAACAGCCAGAAGTGGCACTGTGGCTCAAAGTGGTAGAGCAAAAGAGCTCAGGGACAGCACCCAGGCACAGAATTCCAGTCCCAGGACAGACAAGAAAAAGGAAGGAAGGAAAGAGAATCCCAGTTGAAGGGCACAATATACACCAAGTGGTGACTCATCACTGTCCAAGTCATGCCTTTCTAAAGCCCTGCAGTGGCTTCCAGACTCCTTACTAACCATGGTCATTCAGGGCCATGCCTGAATGGACTCCCTGCTAGTTATCTCCACAACTGCCTTCTCCCTGACCCTGCAGGTGCAGCCATACTTACCTCCTTTCCGTTACACACACACACTCCCTTCCACCTCTCACCAACCCCTTCCCGTCCTTCAGGCCTCAGCATAAATGTCACCAGAGAGGAGGACTCCACTGATCGCTGCCCAAATAATCTCTTCCTTACTGTTTCCCATCAGCAAAACTTCCTTGCAGTTATCCAATTTTATCAGCTTGTTTTCATGTTCAGTATCTCCCCAGATGGCACTATGAGTGCCTTGAGGGCAGATACCTTGCTTTTGCCCAACCCAAGGTCCTAATACCTAGCACAGAGCCTGGCACATTGTGGCCTTTTGATATATTTGTGGAATGCCTGACTGGATGTGATCTGGGGATAAAAAGAAAAAAATCAGAAAGGTTCCTGTACCTGTCACTCAGGCTGAGGTAACAGCCAGTATCAAAGCCAGGAAGTAAAAGAATATGTTTGAGGAAAAGTGAAGAACTTAAATGCAAGGTAGGAGGAAGAGAAAGGGGGAGTATGGAGAAGGGTTAGTGAAAGGATCTTAGTGAATGGCATTGGAGTCATCCCCTCTTTGGAGAAAGAAGTGGCTCAGACAAGGACAAAGGCAATGGGTGGAGAGGTGATTTTAGTGTGTTGAGAAGATGGCAAGGAATCTAGAGTGGCTAAGGCAGAAGGAACAGGATCCACAGGGCCTTGGATGCCAGGCTTACTCTCATGCTGCAGGTCCCCTAGCTCTTCTTGGTGTCCTAGTTCCACATCTTCTCTGAATCCAACATTTCCCATGTTTTGCCTCATGCCTGGTCTACCATTTCCAGGACGTTTTGGGAACCAGGCTGATCACTTCTTGGGCTCTCTGGCATTTGCAAAACTGCTGAATCGCACCTTGGCTGTACCTCCATGGATTGAGTACCAGCACCACAAGCCTCCCTTCACTAATGTGAGTATTCCCGCTGACCTTGGCTTGTCCATTCTGTCCCAGTTGTGCTGACCTTGACTTAACTCCTCCAGGTCTTACCTCTTGCGTAGTAGATTATCATTGTAAGTTGGTCCTCTGAGCCTTGCCCTTCTTCCTATCCAGAAAATCTTCCCTGGAATTGCAGTGGCTGACATGCAACACTGTTCACATGCAGACACTATTCTGGCATTACATGAGGATTAGCTCATTTCTCCCATGTCTCATCCCCTGAAGAAACTAAGGTTTAGAAAAGTTAGGTCAGGGCTGGGAAGGTGGTTCAGTGGTAGAGCGCTTGCCTTGCATGCATGAGGCCCTGGGTTCGATTCCTCAGCACCACATAAGCAAAAAGAAAAAAGCCGGAAGTGGTGCTGTGGCTCAAGTGGTAGAGCGCTAGCCTTGAGCTGAAGAGCTGAGGGACAGCGCCCAGGCCCAGAGTTCAGGCCCCATGACCAGACCCCCCCCCCCAAAAAAAAAAAAGAAAAGTTAGGTCACTTGCCCCAAATCCCACAACTTGTGGGTAGTAGAGCTAAAATTCAAGCCATCACTGACTCCAGAGCCTGTGACTCTAACCTAAAATTTCTATTTGCAGCCTTGTTTGGCTCTCCTTCTATGCCTTGTCATTAGTCAATAAGTGATGGAGCAGGGCGCAAGTGGCTCATGCCTTTAATCCTAGCTACTCAGGAGGCTGAGATCTGAAGATTGTGGTTTGAAGTCAACCCAGGCAGGAAAGTCTGTGAGACTTTTATCTCCAGTTAACTACAAGAAGCTAGAAGTGGAGCTGTGACTCAAATGGTAGAGCACAAATTCTTAGGGACAGCTCCCAGGTCATGAATTCAAGCCCCAGGATCAGCACCTACACACATTGAAAAGGTGATGGAGGATGTGGCACTGTGGCTCAAGCAGTAGAGTGCTACCCTTGAGCTAAAGTTCAGGGACAGTGCCCAGACCCAGAGTTCAAGCTCCATGACTCACAAAATAAATAAATAAATAAAATAATGTACCCATTACCTTACTCATGTAACTGTAACCCCTCTGTACAGCATCTTTACAATAAAATAAAATTTTAAAAAAATACAGAAAAGGTGATGGATATTATTATAAGTTTTGGAGGAGAAACTGAGGCACAGTTTAGTGTGTCCAAGGCCACAACTCAAGCCAATCTGATACTGGCACCTCTTCTTATCCTATCAAAGGATTTTCTTATAAGAAATGTACTAATTTCCTTACTCATGTAACTGTAACCCCTCTGTACAGCATCTTTACAATAAAATTTTAAAAATTTTTAAAAATTAAAAAAGGATTCTTTTAGGGAGACATACTCAGTGTCCTCTAATTCCTAGCTTATTCTTTTGTCTCCCAGTCCCCAAGTAGCTGGAAGTAGGAACTTAATAGCTACAGAATCAACTTAAAATTTTTGAGTAGATGCCAGAAATTATACTTAGCATATATACAAAACACTGCATTTAATTCTTACAGCCATTTTTTTCTGCATACCTGCACTTGAATATTTTCCCCCAGTGTTGGAGATTAAATCCAGAGCCTCATGTGTATTAGCAAGCACTCCTACCACTAAACTATACTCCTAGTCCTGAAGCAGCCCTTCACAGAAATTAAAAGCCATAGTATCTCAGACCACAGCCTAGCTTGGCCTCTTAATAATCAGGTAGCCTAACATAAGGTACTCAACCATTTCTGTGCCTAAATCTCCTCCTGTTTCACAGCCTGGTAATAATTCTCACTATTTTCCTATGGGGAGGATTGGATGAGTTACTGATAGTAATGTGCCCTGAAAGTTGTTACATGCCTCCTCCCTAGAATCAGCTGAGCTTCTCAGTGTAAAGAACTGAGGACAGAGGAAGTCTTCAATCCTAGGACTGTTGGTATTCTGATTTTTGTTTTTCTTTTTTACTTTCTGTGTAGACATTGCCATGGGCCAACCTTTGGCTTGCCTGCTTTTCCTCCTTGCCATCTTAGCCAGGTGTCACACCAGTCTCTACTTCCTTGCTTTCTGTCCCACCTGGGCTCCCCTTCCTCACTGTGACTGTTCCCACTGATGTCACCAGGGAGCTCAGAATTGCTAAATCCAGGGTTCATTTCTCAATCTTCGTCTTACCTGTCCTCCCAGTGGCACCTACTCCTATGATTATCTCCTTCCAGAGCTTCCCTGCTCCCCTGCTCCCCTGGCTTCCAGGATATCACCTGTTCTGCTGCAGTGCTGACCTCTCTGCTTTTGCCCTTTTCATGTTGCCTTGGGGGCTCCTCTGTCTTCATCCACTGTTGAGCTGTTGTTGTGTCCTTTGTTTGCTATTAGCTCTGTGGCTTCAGATGAGTCAGCTAGGTTCTGTACACTTAGGTGTCTTCATAAGTAAACTGGAAATGGTTATATTCCTGCCCCTTAGAATCAATTCAGAATTAAATCCTTATGAAGGGGTGATACAGCACCTGGCACTAAGTTAGGCCTCAGTAAATAGTAGACTCTATTGTTATCGTTACTTGCTTTGCCCTAACTTTGTGTTCTTGTGCCTTTCACTATTCTCTGTGTATTTCCAATTTATCTGTGATCCAGCCTCCTCTCTTACCACGGGCCTGTGTTTCTGACTTTTAAACTCTCAAGTCCACTTGAATGTCCCACAGATTTCTCACTTATAAAGCTAGAACTGTGCTTGGCATCTTTCCCCTCAAACCTGTGTCTCTATGTGTAATTCCAACCACTTCTGTTCACTTGGGTACCAAGCCAGGAACCTAGAAGTCATCCTGAATACCTCCCTACTACATGCTCAGCCCTCAAACTCTACTTCACCTTCCATTGTCTCTTCTACATGTTCAGGCTGCTCCCTCTCACTGAAGTGTGTATGAAATGCACAATGAGTACATGTTAAATGTATGCTTGAACAAATACAAGCATCATTGCAGTAGCCTCCTGTTCTCCTTCCTCTAGTCTTACCAGCAGTCCATTCTCTCTTCTTCCACCATAGTAATCCTTCAAAAGACATCAACCTTGTATTCTCTTTGCTGAAAATTCTTCTGCTATAATACCTCATTGTTCTTTGAAATACCAATTTTGTATTCTAGAAGAGTGCATAGCTGGGCTGGAAATGTGGCTTAGTGGTAGAGTGCTTGTCTAGCATGCATGGAGTCCTGGGTTCAATTCCTCTGTACCATATAAACAGAAAAAGACAGAAATGGTGCTGTGGCTCAAGTGGTAGAGTGCTAGCCTTGACCAAAAGCAGCTCAGGGACAGTGCCCAGGCCCTGGGTCTAAGCCCCAGGACTGGCTATAAAAAAGTTTAGGGCTGGGAAGTTGGCTCAGTGGTAGAGCACTTGCCTTGCATGCATGAGGCCCTGGGTTCGATTCCTCAGCACCACATAAGCAAAAAAAAAAGCTGGAAGTAGCGCTGTGGCTCAAGTGGTAGAGCATTAGCCTTGAGCTGAAGAGCTGAGGGACAGTGCCCAGAGTTCAGGCCCCACAACTGGACCAAAAGAAAAAAAAAAGTTTATAGTTAATTCACTTTGGGAAATAGTATTCTCCATTCCCTATCCTCTCACATTTGCAGATTTGGCACAATAACACGTCAAAGGCCTTCAAAAGTCCTGCTACAGTAAGTCAGTTGTAAACAACATTTCCTCAGCCAGGCTCAAATCTTTATTTGGGATTAGATTTAATCTCCAATCTCCCTCAAGTTGTAGATTGAGGTAGAAATTAATCTACCTCAAACCTACAGCTACTAGGGAGGCAGAAATTACAAAATCAAGCCAGGCATCAGTAGTTCACACCTGTAATCCTAGCTCCTCAGGAGGTGGAGATCTGAGGATCTCAGTTCAAAGCCAGCCCTGGCAGGAAAGTCTGTAAGACTCTTATCTCCAATTTACCACCAAAAGCAGAAAGTGGAGCTGTGGCCCAGGTGGTAGGGGGCTGTGGGCATCATGGCACATACCTTTAATCCCAGCACTTGGGAGGCAGAGGCAGGAGAGTTGAGGCTAACCAGGGATACATAGTGAGACTCTATATTAAAAACAAACCAACAAATCAGAGCCAAAATACAAAACAAAATAAAACAAAAACAGTGTATACAAGGCTGTGGGTTTAATTTCCCAGCAAGTTCAAACTAGATACACCCTCTGCCACTTCAGGCATCCATTCACCCTTATCTAAAAATTTCTCATTGCCATGTCATCTGAACTTCCTGTGTCTTAGCATAAGTTTTTTTTCCAGTCCTAGGGCTTGAATGCAGGGCCTGGGCACTGTCCCTGAGCTGCTTTCATCAAGGCTAGCATACTACCACTTGAGCCATAGTACCACCTATGGCTTTTTCTGTTTATGTAATACTGAGGAATCGAACACAGGGTTTTATGCATGCTAGGCAAGCACTCTACCACTAAGCCACATTCCCAGTCCCATCATGTATAATTTTAATGAGTGACTAAAAATGAGACTGAAGGAACATTTGCCTCTTCTTTTTTTTTTCTGTAGCTCCATGTATCTTATCAGAAGTACTTCAAGCTAGAGCCCCTTCAGGCCTACCACAGGGTCATCAGCCTGGAAGACTTCATGGAGAAGCTGGCACCCACCTACTGGCCCCCTGAGAAACGGGTAGCCTACTGCTTTGAGGTGGCAGCCCAGCGAAGCCCTGATAAGAAGACATGTCCCATGAAGGTAGGTCTTGTGGGCCTAGGACCTTTCCACTTGTTCCATGTCCTTTGGGCCCCTAGGCTACATGATCACAACTTGTGGGCAAAGGCACTCAGAGGGGTTACAGTAGAAAGATAGAGGTTTTTGCTGGGTACCAGTGGCTCACGCCTGTAATACTAGCTACTCAAGAGGCTGAGATCTGAGGATCTCGGTTCAAAGCCAGCCCAGGCAGGAAAAGCCCTTGAGACTCTTTATCTCCAATAAAACACTAGAAAACTGGAAGTGGTGCTGTGGCACAATTGGTAGAGCACTCACCTTGAGCTGAAGAACTGAGGGACAGTGCCCAGGCCCAGAGTTTAAGTCCCATGACCGACAAAAAAAAAAGAAAGAAAGATAGAGATTTTAGTCTATTTCTGGCCATTGTTAGCAGTATTGTACTGTTTCTCTAAGCCTTTATTTTTACCTACTAGTCCCTGCTCCATTTTGCTCAGAGAGTCATGATGCTAAACTTACGAGTGCTGGTTAATACTGAGTACTACATCAGTAATAATAACTAATGCTCACATACTGTACTATACATCAGGTATCTTGCTTAGAGTTTTATACATATTTATTTACTCCTCAAATAAGTTAATATGCATAAAGTTAATATGTATAACTTTGAGAAACTTATCTCCTGTATTGCTCCTTTATTGAGCAATGCTAATAATAGGAGGCCCCCATTGCATAGAGAGGACACTACATATGGCAGAGAGGTTCAGTATTTTGCCCAAGGTCACACAGCAAACATAGTAGAGCTGGGATTCAACCCTAAGTAATTTGGCTTCATTGTTCACCTTCTTACCTTGATCACTTTCTTGTTCTCAGCAAGTAGATGAGAAGCTGTCTTTATTTCATCAGAAATTTGTAAGATTCAGACACTTTGAGAATAATTGAGTCTTCACATATGCCTTTTAGTGCATTTTGCTGTAGTTTAGGGGAGTGGCTAGGATCATTGAGAAATTTGAGACGGGATACCTACCATGTAACCCCAGCACTGCCCTTTACCTGCATGTGACCTTGGGCATATGTCCTACCTAATGTAAGCCCTCATTTCCATCTTGAAGATGAGGTTATTGAACTGAGTACTGGTAGCTCATGCCTGAAATCCTAGCTCCCTAGGAGGCTGAGATCTGAGAATTGTGATTCAAAGTTAGCCTGGGCAGATAAGTCTGAGAAACTCTTATCTCCAATTAACCAGCAAAAAGCTGGGAATGGAGGCATGGCTCAAGTAGTAGAGTGCTAGTCATGAGTGAAAAAGCCCAGCAAGAACATGAGGCCTGAGTTCAAGCCCAGTATTGGTAGGGAGAGAGGAAGAGGGAGGGAGAGGAGGAAGAAAGACACAGAGGGAGAGACAAAGAGAGGAGGAGAGGAGGGAGAAAGAGAGGGAGAGAGAGAGGGGAACAAGGGGAGAAATGAGGGCATTATATTATCCATACTTAAAAGTCCATTGAAAGCCAGGTGCCGGTAGCTCATGTCTGTAATCCTAGCTACTCAGGAGGCTGAGATCTGAGGATTGTGGTTTGAAGCCATCCTGGTCAGAAAAGTCCCCATGAGACTCTTATCTCCAGTTAACCACTTGAAAACCAGAAGTGGTGCTGTGGCTCAAGTGGTAGAACACTAGCCTTGAGCATGAACAGGCTCAGGACAGCACCCAGGCCTTGAGTTCAAGCTCCACAACTGCCAAAAAGAAAAAGTCTATTGAAGCTGTAGTCCATGGTTCTAACCCAAGGCCCATTGGTTCCCTGACCCCAACCCATACCAATGATTCAGGACCAGTAGGATGTGACATATGACCAGAAAAGACTTCTTCAAACACTGGTGAATAGTCTACAGGAAACCAGAACAGAAGCCAAGCACTCACCTCAGCCCCAGCCAAGGGAACCATCCTGTGAGGATTTCATCCTATATCACACCCCAGCCTTTCCGCCTTCACCTGCAATGTTTTAGCCCTGTCCCTAGGCTTCCCCTCCCCCTCATCGAGCCTTCATCAACTCTCTTTCTGCAGGAAGGAAACCCTTTTGGCCCATTCTGGGATCAGTTTGATGTGAGCTTCAATAAGTCTGAGCTCTTTGCGGGCATTTCCTTCAGCGCCTCCTACAAAGAACAATGGATACAGAGGTACTTGGAATGGGCAGCAGTATTGGGTTCAGGGAGGGGATGGGACTCAAGGGCATCTAACACCTTCCAGCACCCTCCTAGCCTTCTCCCCCTACCCCACCCAGATGTATGAGACCAAAGGTATAGGTGCTTTGTCTGTTGAACTTAGGATCCTGTGTGATCTGTTCCTGTCTCAAGGCCTGATACGGTGGAACATTGACCTGCCACGAGGTTGAGCAAGTTTTCTCGGCTGATAAGGGATGTCATAAAAAGAACATTGTGTGGTCACATGCATCTCGATTTCCTCTTCTGGGCGTGAGAATCATTCCCCTGGAATCAGCTCCTGGAGAACAGCTTTAGGTGTAGACTGAAGAGTGATGTCACCTTTGTAATTACTGGTTGTGCTTTATTAATTGTATGCCAGTAGGCTCTATTAAAATATAGGTTAGCAGGGCACAGGCACAGACTGTGAAATATTTATAGAGCATCTGTCATGTGTGAGACACAGTATTTAGAGGCCAAAGGTGATGTATAAAAATGAGGAAGGCTGGCCAGCCCTGACCTTCAGGGAGCTCCCATCTATGTCGATAGCTCCCATGGTGCACTTGCTCTCAGTGATGTATCACGGCCAAAAAGAACCTGGCTTGAATGGCAGCCTGGAGGCTGAATGGAGGTCTAGGTCAGTGAGATAGCACTTGCTTAGCATGTGCAAGGCCCTGGGTTCCATGCTCAGCATATTTTTTTAGAAGTCAGATTGGGTTAGGAGCTAAGAGGAGAATATGAATTCAGGTGTGGTCATAGCACTTGACATTTAATAGGCCAGAGGTAGACTGATGTAGAGAAGTGAGCACAGACCTAAGTATAGTATGGATCTGAGTTCTGCCCTAACCCTTCTCTTTCTCAGGGGACTCTAAACAAACCACTCCAGCTCTCTGACCTGTTTGGTCCCTGGTTTAATGGAAAGAGCACTATGAGTTTTATGCAGTGGTTTTTACTACCTATTTCTTTTCTCCCTCCCTTCTTTCCTTCTTCCTTTCTCCTTTTCTCCTCTTCCCCCTCTCCCCCCCTCCCTGTCTCTCTCCTCTGTCTCTGTTTCTGTCTCTCTCCCCTTTTTGCGACAGTACTGGGCTTGAACTCAAGGCTTGGGCACTGTCCCTGAGATTTTTTTGCTCAAGCTAGCATTCTGCCACTTGAGCCACAGCTTCACTACTGGCTTTTTGGCGGTTAATTGGAGGTAAGAGTCTCACAGAGCTGGGTGCTGGTGGCTCATACCTGTATTCTTAGCTTCTCAGGAGCCTGAGATCTGAGAATTGCAGTTCAAAGCCAGTTTGTGCAAGAAAGTTAGTGAGACTATCTCCAACTAACCACCAAAAAGCCAGAAGTGGCGTTGTGGCTCAAGTGGTAGAGTGCGAGTCTTGAGCAAAAAAATCTCGGGACAGTGCCCAGGTCCTAAGTTCAAGCCTCATGATTGACCCAAAAAAAAGTCTCATGGATTTTCCTGCCTGGGCTGGCTTCAAACCACCATCCTCAGACCTCAGCCTCCTGAGTAGCTAGGATTATAGGCACCTGGCTTGGTTTTGTTTTTTAAAGATGATGACTCACACCTGTAATCCTAGCTACTTAGAAGGCTGAGATATCAGATTGGCAATTCAGATCCAGCCCAGGCAGCAAAGTTCCATAAGACACTTATCTTCAATTGAGCAACAAAAAAGCTATAAGTGAAGTTGTGGTTCAGGTGGTAGAACACTGGCCTTTAGCAAAAAGAACTCAGGGACAATGTCTAGGCCTTGAGTTCAAGCCCCAGAACTGGCACAAAAACAAGGCAACAACAGAAATAATGCGGAGGATTGAACTCAAGGCTTCACACATGCTAGGCAAGTGTTCTGTACTGAGCTATAACATCCCTAGCCTCAGTTTCAATTGTACAGGTGAGAAAGCTGAGCTCAGTGAAGTTAAATAACTTTCCCAAGGTCATAGAGCTATTGTATGGTCAGCTGGGGTCTATTTGTAAAATCTTAAATAATAAGAGCTCTTCCTTATTTAATGCCCACACTGTCCTGAGTCCTCACAGCATTGCTTCATGCTCTCTCTATGGATCTGTGTTGTCTTTAGTCATAAAGAAATGGAAGTCCTTTCAGGTAACACCTGAAAGGAGCTTAGCTGAGGGTGTGGTCCCATAGGTACTCAGGTAATACTAGAGTTTCTTCCTGTTCCACCTCCTGACAACCCTACCTGGTCTTTCTAGTAAGGTCCCTGAGTCTCTCTCATTCATTCATTCTAAAAATATTTATGGCACATACTATGTGTAAAGGCCTGAGCTAGCCTTAATTACTCTTCTGTGTCTTAGAAGAGTAAGTCACCGACTCAGCCACTGATGTGCTCATTGACTGGGTGAGAGATGGGAGTGGAATGAGTGAAGGAGTCAGGAACACGAGTTCTACCAATTCCCAGCTGTGGAACCTTCAAATGTTCTTCAGGCCCTTTGTAGCTCAGTTTCCTCATCTGTAAAAAGAATAGTGATCATACCTCACCTGGCTCTTACGGAAAGCAAAGAGTTAATGTATATCAAGCAATCGGAACATTGCCTGTTATGCAATAAGGCTGAATAAGTAAATATATGGCCACATAGACAGAAATTAGTCTAACAAGCCAAGTGCCATACAGGGCCAGGCTGTGGCTTCTTGCTTACTTGGCAGAGGCATGGGACTAATACGTGTGGGAGTCATGTTGAGCTGGATGCTGGGTCCTAGCAGCAGGGCTGGTGATTGTGAAGCACATCAAGGTGCTGAGGACAGCAGTGGAAAAGTGAGATGGGGAGTCTTCCCCAAGGAGCTGGGGCCTGGGAGTGTCAGCTGACCTGGAGGTTTAGAATGTACTTGCTGATTGACATGTTTGGGGTGGATGTGAAGAATGAGTAGCACATCCACTGCATCACTGTAGAGTGAGTGAAGGACTGGACACCTCACTGACAGACAGCAGGAGGGAAATAGGTAAATAAACTGAGGTTTATTCGCGTACACTGGAACACTGAGAAGCACTAACATGACAAGAAGCTCATTTGATTATGTGGCTGTATCTTTCTTTTTTTTTTTTTTGCCAGTACTGGGGCTTGAACTCAGGGGCCTGAGCATTGTCCCTGAACTTCTTTTGCTCAAGGCTAGCACTTTCATACTTGAGCCACAGCGCTACTTCCAGTTTTTTGTGTTTATGTGGTACTGAGGAATCAAACCCAGGACTTCATGAATGCAAGGCAAGCACTCTACTCCTAGTCCATATTCCCAGCCCTGTGGCTGCATCTTTTAAACCATTAAATAGATTGTTTAAAAAACTAAGCTAGTGCCGGGCGCTGGTGGCTCACACCTGTAATCCTAGCTACTCAGGAGGCTGAGATCTGAGAATCGCGGTTCAAAGCCAGCCCGGGCAGGAGAGACCGTGAGACTCCTATCTCCAATAAACCACCAGAAAAAAACGGAAGTGGCGCTGTAGCTCAAGTGGTAGAGCGCTCGCCTTGAGCTGAAGAGCTGAGGGACAGCGCCCAGGCCCAGAGTTCAAGCCCCACGACCGACAAAAAAAAAAAAAAACTGAGCTAGAACCAGGCACTCGTAGTTCACATCTATAAGCCTAGCTGAAATCTGACAATCCCAGTTTGAAGCCAGATCAGGCAGGAGACATGAGATTCTTACCTCTAATTAATCACCCGAAAATGAGAAGTGAAGCTGTGGCTCAAAGTGGTAGAGCCATAGCCTTGAGAAGAAAAGCTCAGGAACAGTGTCCAGTCCGTGAGTTCAAGCTCCACAACTAACAAAAAATAAAAAATAAAAAGAGAGATATCTCCTGTACCTTTTTATTTTTTTCTTTCTGGTTGGTAGTGGGGCTTGAACTAAGGGCCCAAGCACTGGTCTTGAGCTTTTTCAAGGCTAGCATTCTACCACTTTGAGCCATAGCTTCACTTCCAGTTTTCTGGTTGTTAATTGAAGATTATAGTCTCATGAATTTTCCTGCCTAGTCTGGCTTCTAACTGTGATCCTCAGATCTCAGACTCCTGAAGTAGCTAGGATTATAGGCATGAGCTACCAGCACCCAACCTTTTTGTTTTGTTTATTCACATACCCTTTACCTCCTTTTCTCTAATGGTAACATTTTGCAGAACTATACTACAGTATCACAACCAGGATATTGACATTGATACAGTCCACTTATCTTACTCAGATTTCCCAGTGTGTGTGTGTGTGTTTAGTTAGGTGCAGTTTTATCACAGGTGCAGGTTTATGTATCTACCACCACAAGTAAGATTCTGAATTGTTTCTTCTATCATCATAAGGACCCTTGTGGCCAGTTTATAACCACACCCATCTCCTTAAATATATACCACCCATAGCCATTTCTGTTCTTTGCTCTGTTTCACCTTTTCATTATTATTTAAACAGAATCATAGTATGTGTCCTCCTGGGATTGGCTCTTTTCACTTGAGATAATTCCTTGAGAGCCATCAAGTTGTTGGCTGTGTTGATAGTTTATTCCATCCCATGGTATGGATGATACAGTTTATTGCACTACTTACTTGTTGAGAGAGATCTTGGTTGTTTCCTGCTTGAGGATACCAAACTTAATTGTCTAATAAAGCTGCCACAAGGGGCTGGGAAGGTGGCTCAGTGGTAGTGCTTGCCTTTCTTGCATGAGGCCCTGGGTTCGATTCCTCAGCACCACATAAGCAGAAAAAGCTGGAAGTGGTGCTGTGGCTCAAGTGGTAGAGCACTAGCCTTGAGCTGAAGAGCTGAGGGACAGTTCCCAGGCCCAGGATTCAGGCACCATGACTGGCAAAAATAAAAAAATAAAGCTGCCACAAAAACTAGTGCCCAGGTTTGTGTGTGAATATAAGCTTTCATTTTTCCAAGATACGTGCCCATTGCTAGGTCATATGGTAATTATATGTCTAGTTTTATAAGAAACTGTCACTCTGTTTTCCAGAGTAGCTGTGCCTCATTCAGAATGTATATGAAAAGATTTCAACTAGCAGGAGCAAATATTCCAGGGAAGGCAAGTAGGCAGAGGTCTAGGGTTTGAAAGTGCGTATGAGCTTATGGAACAGCAGGCTATCTCATGTTGCTGAGACAGTCTGGGTTTAGCTGAAAAGTGAACACAAGTTTGCTACTCAGTAAGTCAAACAATATTTACTGAACCAGGCAATGGCTAACTGCTCAAGAGACTGAGATCTGAGGATCACAGTTTAAAGCCAGCCCAAGTAAGAAAGTCTGTGAGCCGGGCGCTGGTGGCTCATGCCTGTAATCCTAGCAACTCAGGAGGCTGAGATCTGAGGATCACGCTTCAAAGCCAGCCCAGGCAGGAAAGTCTGTGAGACTTTTATCTCCAATTAACCACTAGAAAACTGGAAATGGCACTGCGGCTCAAGTGGTAGAGCGCTAGCCTTGAGCTGAAGAGCCAAGGGACAGTGCCCAGGCCCAGAGTTCAAGCCTCATGACCAACAAAAAAGAAAGTTTTTGAGATGTTGATCTATAATTAACTACCAAAAAGCTGGAAGTGGAGCTGTGGCTCAAATGGTAAAGCATCAGCCTTGAGCACAAAAGCTCTGAGATAATACCCAGGCTCTGAGTTCAAGCCCAGAACTGGTACATATGCAAAAAAAAAAAAAAAATTTACTGAGCTCTCACATGTGCCAGGCATTTGATCGGGGTACTCTGGAGGTATTGGCCCAGCAAAAAGACAGGTACAAAATAATTGTGAAAAGGGTATTGTACAAATGAAGAGGGCATGATGGAGGCATCTATGGTCTTTGGTACATCCCACAAGGGCTCCTCATTTTTCCTGGGTCCCTGCACATAGCAGGCAATCAAATATGTATTTGATAGGTGTTGTGTGAATGATCTAATCTAGTGTACACAGTCCCTGAGAGGGGCTTGTCACCTCTGCGAGCACCTGTATATCTCAGTCCCGCCATGTGGGTAAAAGAGCAAAGGCTTGGTCCAGACACCGCACCCTGGAATGAATTACCACACCGCAGATTGGAAGCCAGCATGACATATAAAAGGTTGGAATGCTTTACCGTAAATTTTTAATTGTTAAATAAGCAAAGAAGGTTGTAAATTCTGTGTGGCGGGACAGAATTGCATATTGTACCTGTTACTGCCACCAAGATTTCTTATCAGCCCGTTGGGATTTCACAACCCCTTGTGCCTCTTGCATGTTACAGGGGCCTCTCTGCAGGGTCTTTGGAACATGGTGCAATGCCATCTTTTTCCGTGGGGGTGGCAACCAGACTCTGTGCATCCTCTGTCTGACTTCTCTTCATTCCATCTATGCCTAGATTTTCTCCAAAGGAACATCCAGTGCTTGCCTTGCCAGGGGCCCCAGCCCAGTTCCCTGTCCTGGAGGAACACAGGTCACTCCAGAAGTACATAGTGTGGTCAGACGAGATGGTGAAGACAGGAGAGGCCCTGATTCGTGCACACCTTATCCGTCCCTATGTGGGCATTCATCTGCGCATTGGCTCTGATTGGGTAACTTCCCCTTCCTCTCTCTGGCTGACTCCCATAATGCCTGAGTAGAACATATCCCCGTGGGAAATGGGCCACTGGTCCCAGACTGGGCAGAGAGCTTTCTCAGCCAAATCTGTGGGCTTGTGTCTCATGATACTGCTGAACCAGGCTTGTGACTCTAGAGTACTTGCCTGCCAGCTCTTTCTCTCTCTCTCTCTCTCTCTCTTTTAATGTTAGTACTATGGCTTGAACTCAGGGCCTAGGTGCTGTCCCTCAGCTCTTCAGCTCAAGGCTAGCACTCTACCACTTGAGCCACAGAGCCACTTCTAGTTTTCTGGTGGTTATTGGAGATCAGAGTCTCATGGACTTTCCTGCCCGGGTTGGCTTTGAATCGAGATTCTCAGATCTCAATCTCCTAAGTAGCTAGGCATGAGCCACTGATGCCTGGCCCATCTCTCATTTTAACAGCTCCCATTTGTGTCCTTATTTTACAGATGGATAAGCTGCTGGTTAGCCAGATCCTGGCCAGACAGCATGCTGAAAGAGGCCTCCGAGTTTTCTGTGCTAACACAGTGGTTAGCTAGGAGGCTCCTTGCTGAAAAAGAATCTATGGGGGCAAAGGGAATAGCTCACTGTTAGTTACCTAGCTTGTACAAGGCCCTGGATTCCATCCACAACACTGAAACACACTTGCACGTGCACACACACACACACACACACACACACCAAAATAATGAAGACAGTAAGGTTCCCAAGAAATAGAGATGCTATCCTTCCAGAATTTGGAGGCTGCTTAAATGTGCAAACACTTTTTAGTTTATCACCCATTTAGTCCCATATTTACACAAGGAAATAAATAGATGTCTTAGAAATGCTTGCTATTAGCTGGGTGCCAGGTTTCTCATGCCTATAGTCCTAGCTACTCAGGAGGCTGAGACCTGGAGGATCATGTTTGAATGCCAGATCAGAGGTGTGGCCTCAGTTGTAGAGTGCCAGCTGTGAGCAAGAAAACCAACTAAAAGTGTGAGACCTGTAGCTCCAGTGGCTCACACCTGCAATCCTAGCTACTTAGGGAACTGAGTTCTGAGGATCTCACACACACACACACACACACACACACACACACACACACACACACACACACACGTGAGACGTTGAGTTCAAGCCCTAGTACCACTCCCTTTCTCTCCCTCTCCTGCCCCCCCCCAAAAAAATGTTCATTGATAAAGATCTTTAAATATTGAAACAAATTAGATTAAAATTCATTCTTCAAGCTGAGGGACAGAGCTCAGGCCCAGAGTTCAAGCCCCGTGATTGACTAAATAAATAAATAAATAAATTCAATTCTTCAGAGCCAGGAATGTGGCTTAGTGGTAGAGTACTTGCCTAGCATACATGAAGCCCTGAGTTCAATTCCTCAGTACCACATAAACAGAAGGAAAAAAAATTCACTCACCATCAATTGATGAGATATTCTCCCTCTCTCACAAGGAAGAAGAGACAGATTTAGAATATTTTATGAGTTGTTATATCCAAATATTCAAGTAATAGCCCCCATCTATGCTTTATTGGAACACAAGATAAAAGATGCTATTTTTCCCCCTGAAATAATACTAATACCACACTCAGATAGTCAACTCAAAATTGTGGCCTTTCTCTCTGATGAACATAGATACACAGACCCCAAGTCAAATATAAGGTAAAAATCAAGCTAGGTGCTGTTGGCTCAAGCCTATGATCCTAACTACTCAGGCTGAGATCTGAGGGTCGCAGCCAGCATGGGCTGGAAAGTATGTGAGACGTTTATCTCTATTTAACCACCAGAAAACTGGAAATAGCTCTGTGGCTCAGTGGTAGAGCACTCGCCTTGAGCTGAAGAGCTCAGGTACATCGCCCAGGCCCACAGTTCAAGCCCTACAACCATCCAAAAAAAAGGTAAGAATCTGCCATGTGCCAGTGGCTCACGCCTGTAATCCTAGCTACCCAGGAGTCTGAGATCTTTGGTTCAAGGTTCAAAGCCAGCCCAGGTAGGAAAGTCTATGAGAGCTTTTTATTTTTTTCCCTGTCAGTCCTGGGGCTTGAACTCAGGGCCTGGGCACTGTTCCTGAGCTTCTTTTGCTCAGAACTAGCACTCTACCACTTGAGCCACAGTGCACTTTTGGCATTTTCTGTTTACTAGGATTGAGGAATCAAGCCCAGGGCTTCATACATGCTAGGCAAGCACTACCACTAAGCCACATTCCAAGCCCTCTATGAGACTCTTAACTGAAATTAATCACCAAAAAGCCAGAAGTGGAGCTGTAGCTCCACTCTAGGACCAGCACCAAAAAAGCAAGTAAAAATCAGTAACAAACTAAGGGATATGCAACTCAAAATCTTTTTCCTGTAATACAATGAAATTCACAGCATTTATACCTAGAGAAGAAAAATCATAAGATCGTCTCAGAAAAGGATAAAGCACTCCCCCATTCATGGCTTGAAAAAAAAAATGCCTAACCCAGGTGCCGGTGGCTCTGGCCTATAATCCTAGCTACTCAGGAGGTTGAGATCTGAGGATTGCAGTTCAAAGCCAGCCGAGGCAGGAAAGTCTGTAAGACTCTTATCTCTAATTAACCGCCAGAAAACCGGAAGTGGCACTGTGGCTCAAGTGGTAGAGTGTTTATCTTGAGCTGGAGAGTGCAGGGACAGCGCCCAAGCCCAGAGTTCAAGCCCCACAACCAAAAAAAAAAAACAGCCAGGAATAGAAAGGACTCACCTTAACTCGATAAAGCCTATCTCTGAGACACACAGTAAACAGCATACCTCAGCAGGAGCTATCAGAAGTGTTTCCACTAAAGTCAGGAATCAGATAAGCCTGTCCCTTATCGCCACAGTTGTTCACAATTCTGGAAGTCCCAGATAACTCAGCAAGACCAGGGGAAAATGCAAAACTAAGATCCCACAGTTACTATTTCCATGCATTTTCCTCTTTTTTAAAATATAGCTGAGCTGGGAGTATAACTCAGTGGTAGAGCACATGCTTAGCATGTGTGAGGACCTGGATTGCTTCCCCAGAACCCTGTATGGGGCTCCTTCTCCTTCTGTTCAGCCTTTCTTTTTCTACTAACAAGTCTTGGTGTCCAGGGCCATTTCTGCTCTCACTCTTTATCCTCTCATCTCCCTGTAGAAGAACGCCTGTGCCATGCTGAAGGATGGGACTGCAGGCTCACACTTCATGGCCTCCCCGCAGTGTGTGGGCTACAGCCGAAGCACAGCGTCTCCCCTCACCATGACCATGTGCCTCCCTGACCTGAAGGAAATACGGCGCGCTGTGAAGCTCTGGGTGAGGGCACTGAATGCCCAGTCAGTCTACATTGCCACAGATTCTGAGAGCTATGTACCTGAGATCCAGCAGCTCTTCAGAGAGAAGGTAGGCATAGGCCAGAAGGGAGTGCAGTGAGGACAGAATGGAAGGAAGGCCTGTGCTGGTCCCAGAGCCCTCACTGTGTACTTCCTTTTCTCTCCCCACCTTCCTTCTTCCTACACCCTTCTTTTCTAGACTCTTCCTTCCTCCAAACTCTGACTCAGACAGCTCTGCAGATTTTTCCTCTCTTCCCTCTGCTCCAGTTAGTCACTCCTGGATCCCTTCTGGGAGCTGACATGGACCTTTCTCTCTTTACTTGAGACATTGAAGGTAGACTAATAGTAGAAATACGTGGTTTTCTAATAGTAGAAATCAATGGTGATGAATACAGGGAGAGAACTTTTGTGCTTAGTAAATGCTTAAGGAAGTACGTGCATAAACAGTAGACACGCATGGCAAATGTGAAGAGTAGATAATGAGTAAGATGACTGAATTAATAAGCATTCAAGAGGACTGTAGAGTTGGGTGCTGATGGCTCGTACCTGTAACCCTAAGTTACTCAGGAGGCTGAGATCTGAGGATTGTGTTACAAAAAATCAACCCAGGCAAGAAAGTCCATGAGACTCTTATCTTCCATTAACCAGCAAAAAGCTGGAAGTGGAACTGTGGCTTAAATGGTAGAGTGTAGCCTGGTGCTGGTGGTTGATTATAAGAGGCTGAGATCTGAGGATCACAGTTCAAAGCCAGCCGGGACAGAAAAGTCCGTAAGACTCTTATCTCCAATAAACCACTAGAAAACTGGAAGTGGCACTGTGGCTTTAGTGGTAGTGCTTGCCTTGAACTGAAGAGAATATGGACAGCACCTAGGCCCATAGTTCAAGTCCCATGACCGACCAAAAAAAAAAAGTGGTAGAGTGATAGACTTGAGCAAAAAAGCTCAGGGACAGCACCCAGTTCAAGCTCCAAACTAGCACAAAAAATAAAAGAAAAAAAGGAAAGATTTTGCAGTGTGAACAAGAACAATTAATGCTAAGCAGATCTTAAAGACCATGAATAGGAGCTGCTTATGTCATTATGCTCTTTTCACCATAGCTCCCCAGACAGAAAGTTCTGGTGGTAGAAGTGTGAGGTCAGTGCATTCTATCCCTCGCTTCCCTACATAGAAAAGCTGAGAAGCCCCAGGGTCTTCTCACTCTGGCCTGAGGAACAATGAGGAGGCTGCCATGTTGTAGTTGAGGAAACCCAAGCCCCAAGAAGGAACAGAATTTACCCATGAGGTCCCAGAGCTAATTATAGTGGGCATGACACAGAATGGGTAAGTTTCAGGGCATAAGTGGAATTGTTTGGGGGATTTTGGCCATGATTAAACTGGTATTATTTCCTTGCAACAGTCCAAATAGTAAGGTGATGGTTTTTTACATCAGAAGTCTCAGTGGAACAGCAAAGCACTTTCAGCCCAGCTCTGCCCACACTCCCACCTCTGAACGAAGTTGAAGTACTTGGAGAGTCCCAGGGAGTTTTTCTGTGAGCTTTAGCGTTGATGTGTTTGTTACGCCCTGAACCTTTTGCCATTTTCTATTTCCTGTTCCTAAGCCAGTCTTGTCACTCTTCCCCTCTGCTCCTCAGCTCCCCCACCCTTTTCCCCATGCTCAGATCCCAACCCTCCTTCTGAACAAAGCTTTGTTCCTCCACTAATGGGCCAGGTCTCAGGCAGGGACACTAACGAATGAGCTGTGGCCCTGCCCTTGGAGCTCACAGTCTAGACCCAGGAAGAGACTGCAGATGGGAAGTTGGGGCAAGGTTTGTTCAGTCGCTTTGTCTCTGCCACAGGTGTTTATTAAGGCAGCCACTCACTAGAATGGGCCTGGCTAGGCCAGCAGTGGAGAACAAGCTGATATAGCTCCAGCCCCAACCAGATGCAGGACGTAATGGTAATCAAGAATCACTGGGGAGCAAAAACTCCAAACTGACTCCTGTGGGAGTCAGTGGGGCTTTGAGAACACCAGGCAAACAGAAGGCCTAGTTCAGGCTAGGGCCCTGAGAGAGCTTTCCCAGGGAGGGGCCAGACAGCTGAAAAGGGAAGGATAGGTAGAAGCTAACCAGGTAGAGAGAGGTAGCATGTATAAAGGTCCTGGGGAAGAGAAAGATGGAACCTAGAAGGTTTGGGCTGGAGCTCAAGGGACAATTGGGAACAGGAGGAGCAAGCTGAGCCAGGCCTGGCTGAGTATATCGTGTTTGTCATCTTTATCTGAAAAGTGATGGCACCAATAGAGTATTCAGCTTGGTGGGCAAGAAGGGCAGAGTAGCTGGGTGCCAGTGGCTCATGTCTGTAATCTTAGCTACGCAGGAGGCTGAGATTTGAGGATTGTGGTTTGAAGCCAGTCCAGACAGGAAAGTTCTTGAAACTTTTGCTTTTATTTTTGTTTTTGTTTTTTGGTCGGCCGTGAGGCATGAACTCTGGTCTTAGGCTCTGTCCTTGCACTCTTCAGCTCAAGGCGAGCACTCTACCCCTTGAGCCACAGCGCCACTTCCGGTTTTCTAGTGGTTTATTGGAGATAAGAGTCTCAGGGACTTTCCTGCCCGGGCTGGCTTTGAACCACGATCCTCAGATCTCGGCCTCCTGAATAGCTAGGATTACAGGCATGAGCCACCAGCGCCCAACAGTTCTTGAAACTTTTATCTCCACTAAATTACAAAAACAAACAAACAAACAAAAAACCCATAAATAGCACTGTGGCTCCAGTGGTAGGGTGCGAGGCTTGAGCAAAAGGAGGTCAGGGATAGTGCCTAGGCCCAGAGTTCAAGCACCGCCCCCCCACCCCCCCCAAAAAAAAAGCCATTGCAGGCAGAGGGAACAGCACAGGTGAAGACATAGTGATGAGTATGGTGCCCCTGGAGCCAAAGCTGGAGGAAAGGGCACAGGCTGGGCCTAGATAGCTGGGCACACTTCTCTAAGACCCCTGATCCCATGACGCCATCCTCTCTACCCTTCCTGTACATATAACCTTCTTCTAGTCTGTACTCAGCCTGGGATTGGAGGAAGTGTGGCCTGTGGGCCTTGGCCAAGCTGAAGCAGCCTTGTCCTGTAGCCATGTGGCTAATACTCTGCCCTTTCTTCTGCAGGTGAAGGTGGTCAGCCTGAAGCCAGAGGTGGCCCAGACTGACCTGTACATCCTTGGTCAGGCTGACCACTTCATTGGTAACTGTGTTTCTTCCTTCACTGCCTTTGTGAAGCGGGAGCGGGACCTCCAGGGGAAGCAGTCCTCCTTCTTTGGCATGGACAAGCCCCCTCAACTTCGGGATGAGTTCTGACACTGGCTAGAGCCTGTCACCAATCTGAGCTGTTCCTCACCCCCTAGCCAATCCTGGAAGCCAGAGGTGTTCCCAGGACTGCAAGCTGCTCTTCTTGGCTGCCAGAGGTGAAGAGCAGCACCAGGGACTGCCTGGATGAGGAAGACAGCCTATCCCAGGCTTCCAAACCGGCTGGAAGTCAGTGCATCTCCTCCCCACATGTGCTTCCTGCTGCTTCTCCTGGGGATTCTCACATGGCAAAGTAGTCCTTTGGTCTGGCCTGCTTGGAGCAGCCTGGGATGCAGAATTCTCTCCAGAGAAATTTTTATAGTTTTGATACTAGGTCATGATTACCCCAAGAACTCTTCCTCATTTTTTAAAAATCAGTCATCCGGGCACTGGTGGCTCATACTTGTATTTGCTACTCAGGAGGCTGAGACCTGGCAGAAAAGTCTATAATACTCCCATCTCCAAAAAGCCAGGCTGGAGGCATGACTCAAGTGATACAGCACCAGCCAAGCAAGGGTGAGATTCTGAATTCAAACACCAGTACCACAGGGAAAAAGTCAATAAAGTCCACTAGTATAGATACCTCAAGTGACCTTAACTGAGTTTGGGTGGAGCCTAAGCTTAGTGGGTCTCTTGGTCACTTTTCCAGGTATCTCCAAAGTGGGCCTCAGACCATCTCTGCCACCTAGCCAGCAAGAAAATTCTTACTTCTACATTTGGAGGTCTACTCACCTCTATTGTAAACTATGCAAATGGGAATTACCGGTCATGGTGCTGCTGGGTGCTCCTGGAAGCTCATACATTGAGCCCAGCAATCATGGCAGTGCTCCTGGGGCCTGGGAGTTGGCTGCTCCAAGAAACCTGGCACTATAGACATCAGTGTGCACTAGTTGGTGGTCAGGGCTGTTGTCCTCTCTAAGAGCTTATGAGTTCTCCCAGCCTCTGCCCTGCAGCTGTAGCCCTCAGAGGCTGTTCACGACTGAATATTCATCGTTTCTCACCCATACAGGTTTAGGACCCAGAAGCCACCGGGGTTTGAAAGCAGCCTCAGCCTGTGCCCTTTGCTGGGGTGTAGGTGTTTCAGTCATAATGCTGCAGTTCTCATAGTCCACGACTCCAGAGAGCCTATAATACTTTTTTCTTTGTGTTTCAAAATTTCACTTCTAATGCCTGAGGGTCTCTTCCTTGCCATTAAGTCTTCCTCAGCCTTTGGCCTTGGTAGGTAGCTTAGAGCTCATCCTCCCTTGATGAGGTAGGGCTGCTTTGCCAGGGGCAGACCAGGCAAGAGGTCACAGGAAGATATCCAGTTCCAAATTTGGCATTTGCCACCTAGAGCTGCTGCCCAATTCTTTACAGGAAAAACTGTACAGAAAAGGGCACTGTAGATTTCTTCCCTCAGGAGTCAACAGTGCAATATTTTAACTTGCGTGGGTTCAGAGGAAGAGATGGCTCATCTGTGCCTCACCCAGGGGAAGGTCCAAAACAAGGGAGTCTGTGCACCTGCTGCCTCCCTGAGCTTGGGCATTGTGTTCTGGAAGAGAGGGAAAGGGGCTTCTGCTGGATTCAGCTGTGCTTATGGGCAAGCACTTTACTCATTGACCCAACTTCCACCCTGTAAAATAGTGATTAAAAATCAGAGTACATTGTAGCCAGGCACTGGTGGCTCATGCCTGTAATCCTAGCTACTCAGGAGGCTGAGATCTGAGGATCGTGGTTCAAAGCCAGCCCAGGCAGGAAAGTCTGAGACTCCCTACACATGCATAGCCAGTCTTTGGGCTTGCTTGAACTCAGGGCCTTAGCACTGTCCCTGAGCTACTTTTGCTCAAGGCTAGCATTCTCCCACTTGAGTCGCAGTGACACTTCTGGCTTTTTCTCATCCCAGGGCTTCATGAATGCTAGGCAAGCACTCTACCACTAAGCCCTGTGAGACTCTTAGCTCCAATTAACTACCAGAAAACCAGAAGTTGTGTGTGGCTCAAAGTGATAGAATGGTATCCTTGAGTGAAAGAGCTAAGGGACAGTGTCCAGGCCATGTGCTTAAGCCCCACTACCAACCCTTCCCCCCCAAAAAAAGAAAGCACATTGTATAAACCTGAGAGCCCCAAAGGCATGGAAATGGCTGTGAATTCATTGACTGCTTCACATCGTGCACCTACTCCACACCAGCCACTGTGCTTGCCAAGTGCTTTGTGGGCATGCTCTTCAGTGCCAGATTAGCTCTAGGGAGCAGGAACTCTTACCCATCTCTTTATGCACAATGAAAAATGAATGTTCCAATTTTTTTTTTTTGTTGTTCAGTTGGGTATGAACTCTGGGCCTAAGTGCTGTCCTCAAGCTCTTCAGCTCAAGACAAGCAATCTATCCCTTGAGCCACAGCACCACTTCTGGTTTTCTGGTGGTTAATTGGAGATAAATGTCTCAAGAGTCCTGCCTGGGCTGGCTTTGAACTGAGATCCTCAGATCTCAGCCTCCAGAGTACCTAGATTACAGGCATGAGACACCAGAGTCTGGCAAATGTTCAGAAATTCTTGTTTCCCGAAAGGCTGTGAGCTCGTGACAAAGCCAATATTCCACCTCCCAAATCCATTTGTGTTATCCAGAGCTCTGCCTCCAGCTCCTAGGATGCACTGTGCAAGGAGTGCACTGTGGGAATGATACCAGCCACTGCCTGGATTTCCACTGTGCACCTGCCTGAGTTTTGCCACCATCAGGTTTTAGAAGGAAGAGGTCACTGACTGAAGAACTAGAGAGCCCACAGGCCTGTAATCCCCTGTAATCCCAGCTGCTCAGCAGGTAGAGATAAGATTGCAGCTTGAGGTCACCATTGGTAAAAAGACCACCACATCTTAACCAATAAAGCTGGGTATGGTGGTACATGCCTGTTTTTCCAGGTACATGGGAGGTATAAGTAGGATCACCACTCAGGCCAGCTTGGCAAAAATGTTACAAAATAAAGCCAAAAGAGCTAGAGGTATGGTTGCTTAGCAGGCTTGAGGCCCTGAGTTCAAATTCCTACCACCATAATAAAAACGAAAGAGCCCATGTGAAGCCACAGTTTCCTTGGGAAGTTATTTAATTCATTGTGTGCTGGGCTCTGGTAGGTAAAAGGATGCAACAGAGAATCAAGTCTTTGTTCTCAAATCATTTTCCCTCCAGAAGTGCAAGTAATAAGTGTTTAAAATAGTTATGAAGAAAAAATAAAGAATATGGGTACAGAGAGGAGCTACTTTAGCTTAACAAGTTTCCTTAATTGGGAAAGAAGCACACTTATTCGGATAACCAGAGACAGCTGAAGAAACAGTTTGAGCCAAGGCCCTAAGGCTGCCATTTGTGTCTGAAGAGAAGCAAAGGAGCAGAGCAGTAGATGAGGGCAAGCAGGTGGCACTGCCATAGCCCAGAGGACTGGGCTAAAGTATAGATTGGCTGTCAGATATGTGAGAGCCTTTGGGAGCTTCTGGATAGGGACAGCTATGTCTGATTTACATCTGTGAAGGCTCCCTCCAGAGTGCAGGGGTGAGAGCATCAGCCACTGCAGGTGCACTCGTGCTACCTAGACAAGGGGCACCACTGTTCTAGGAGGCTAAGACCATTGTATGGAAGGAAACAGTCTGATTCTGAGTCTATGAAGTTATTTTTCTAACTTAGTCTTTTTTTAAAGGAAGATCTTTGCATCATTTTAATCATGCTATATACAATTTGATGTCTCTTTTTATACTTAATAGTATGTCCTATTTTCCCCCATGGTTTGAATAAATGCTTATAATCATAGAATTCCATTGAGGGTATCTACAGTTTATTCTATTGTGAGGCCTTAATGTGTTCCCAATCTGTTGTTTTTTGCAAAAAAAAAAAATTTTGTAAAGATTTTTATTTAAAATATGCATTAAGATAAATTCCCAGGAGTGAATTTGTTGGAGGCAAGACTAAAACGTTTTATTATCCACACAATCTACACAAAGGTTGTAATAAACTCACAGTTTTAACAGTGGTCAACATTTACCCCAGATCTGTTTGTTTTCTGGAATGTGTCTAAATGGGGCTGGGGAGGAGCCCACAGTGATTGCTGGGAAAGAAAGATTAAGACTCTCATGGCCTGCCCGGACCTCTTAACAGACCTCACCAACTCACTAAAATTTGGCCCATGCTACCTTGCTGTGCTGCTGTACAAGCACAGTCCCCTGACCACCAGCTGTCCTCAACAAGGTAGCTTTAGCAGAAACCTAGTGCTCAGTATATACCAACATGCCCCTTTTTTTTGTTGTTGCTGGTGGTCGTAGGGGCTGAACTCTGGCCTGGGCTCTGTCCCTCAGCTCTTCAGCTCAAGGCTAGTGCCCTACCACTTGAGCCACAGCACCACTTCTAGCTTTTTTCTGCTTATGTGGTGCTGAGGAATCGAACCCAGGGCCTCTTGCATGCGAGGCAAGCACTCTACCACTGAACTAACTTCCCAGCCCACCGACATGTCCCTTCTTATGTAGAGGTGGTATATGCAACCAGAAGGACAATCAAACCTTGTTTTAGAGGAGGCCATATTTGTATAAGTTAACAAAGGGAAGAGCATTTTTTTTTTTTTTGGTCTGGTCATGGGGCCTGAACTCTGGGCCTGGGCGCTGTCCCTCAGCTCTTCAGCTCAAGGCTAGCGCTCTACCACTTGAGCCACAGCGCCACTTCTGGCTTTTTTCTTTTTGCTTATGTGGTGCTGAGTAATCAAACCCAGGGCCTCATGCATGCAAGGCAAGTGCTCTACCACTGAGCCACTTTCCCAGCCCAGGGAAGAGCATTTTTTAAATTAAGTAGCTACTGGTAGAGATGTGTTGTGAATTGGGCAGAAATGGAGAAGCTGGTGTTCAATGAAACCAAAGCTGAGAAACACTCACTGTCTTGAAATATCAGAGCACCTCCAGAAATATGGGAGAAGAGAAAGGGGAGAAAATATGGAGGGAGGAGACAGGAGGAAGAAAAACTCAACATTTCCATTTTTTTTTTTTGTTTACCTCAAAGAAGCTTATAGTATACCCTAATCATAACAACAATACTACACTTTTACCCCTTGAAAATAAAGATTGGGACTTCTCACCCCTATGGTGCAAAGGCAGATCCTGAACTCTGGATTATGTTATCAGAAGTCATTGAAATTCATGCTTGAAACCTGGTTTGTTTCAGGGTTGGGATCTTTCCCCTGAAATGGTATGACTAAACTGCAAGCAGGGTTGGTTTGTTTTTCTCTCTAATCCTTAGTGGATCAGCAGCCCTGGGAAGCCAAGCATCACCAGGTAAACATTCAGGAAAGAAGCAACAAAAGCCATTTCCCAGAAGCCTCTCCCACTGGGCATGATTTCACCACCAAGGCGAGGGAGCCCTGCTGACCCAAAGAGTGGCAGCCTGGGAAGGACACCCCAAGCCTCTCTAAAACCCCACCATTAAAACAA